CTGAGCTTATCGTTAACGTGTGCGCCAGGCAGCCGAGCCAAGTGCCCAGGACCTCGCTGACGCCGGAGCCCCTCACCCCCACCGAGGAAGGAACAGAAGACACGCTGCCGTCACAGCTCTATTTATGGACAACCTGACTCAGTGAACACGCAGAGCCGTGCCTGCCTTTCCATTCCTTCCTCACCAAGGGGCAGGTCCCCACCTGCTGCTGCCCGGGAGTCCACGGCAACGGGTTTCCAACACGAACACACACACCTTCCAAGATACAGCAGAGACCATGCTTGTCTCAGCCTCCACAGGTTAGCAAGATGGTCCTCACACCAACCGCCAGCCGCTGGTGGTTTGCAGGTGATGGTCGGGTTTATCTATTCTAGACAAACACTAAGATATTTAAGCCAATGTCTGAGCCCCTCGAAGGCACAGAGTCCATGGGAGGTCGGCTCCACATCTCTGTGTAGAGCAGTGGTTCTCAACCTCTGGCCCTTTAAATACAGTTCCTCATGCTGTGACCCAACCATAAAATTATTTTTGTTGCTACTTCATAACTGTAATGTTGCTACTGTTATGAATCATAATGTAAATATCTGATATGCAGACCCTTGTGAAAGGGTCGTTCGACCGCCAAAGGGGTTGCGACATCCCAGAGAGGCACACACCGTGCGGAGAGGCCGCCGCCGTGGCACCCGGGAAGGGAGCAGCTCGAGGTCCCGCTCCACGGCCTGCAGCTCCGGGCTGGGAACCGGATGAGCTCCCCTCGCAGGGTCTCAAGAGAGCGACTTGTAGAGCTGCTGGGCTCCCGTGGCGACCGGCCGCAGTCCCCATCTCTGTGTGGCACGCGGTGCCGTTTTTACGCGTGGTGACCGCCATGCAGACATCCACGTCATTCAGGCTGGACCCTAATGAACTAGGTGCACAGCTGAGCTCAGCCTCCTCTGCGTCGTGTGGCAGGACGTCCACAATATTAACGTGCACAATATTAACGACGCCGCGTGCCTGCTCACCGTAATACAGACTCTTTCAATCATCGTCGGGAACGGGAAGGCCTCAGACGCGGGCGCCGGGCCAGGTTAGTAAAACTTTCCATGAGGAAAGCCTTTTGTTGTCTCCCAGAGCAGCTTAAGCTCAGGAAAGGAGGGGTGGAGGGGCTCGAGGCCCAGACTCGGGGCAGACACGATCCTGGCCGCCTGGTCCACCTGCTTGCTGCTTTAATGACATCGAGACTTCTGGAAACCCTAGAGCTCCTGGAGGAGCTGAAAGGGCCGATTGTGGATTGTGGTGAAGGCGGCAGGGAGGTCGAGGTGACAACAGGGGGCTTTGGCGGCAGACAAGCCAACGCCTTGGGAGCCATCGCTCCAGTTGTAAAGCTCTAAGGAGGGGCTCCGTTTCAGCCAAACTGGGGTGCAGGTCCCCTTCACACAAATGCTGGACTACACCGTGTGCTTCAGAAATGTTTAGGATATGCTTCCAGTGAATGTATGAAAGTGGGGCACATAAGCAATGATGCAGGTGAGGGTATGTGGGGGTGAACTGAACGCTCCATGTGAGTAAACCAAGGACATCCCCTTCCCGGGGGGTGGGGGGTAGTCTCCTTGTGCCGTTCTCAACAACGGCAATCCACAGAAATCCTGTCCGAGACAGGGCTCACGTGCAGCTTTTATGTCACATTTTTTAAATCCACATTTCAAATAACATGAGGTCCATAAAACCAATCTTTAAAAAACGTGCTCTTGTGGTTCTACTATAATCAGGAAGTCTAAACTGAGAGCCAAAGTCTTAGGAATATTGTTAAACCAAAGAATAAACGGTAACTGAAATATATTTATGGGCTGAGTACCTTTGAAACAAAACCTGAGAGTAGAAACAACCCCAAACAAAGACATCCTAAAATAAGCTGGGATTCCCTTTGAGCTGCGTTTTCTGGGAAGAATGATGGAACATAACTGGGTGAAGAGGTCATACCACAATAAGGTGTTGCAACTCCAAAAGGCTGAGCAATCTGTTCTAGAGATACCGTGAAGTCCGCGGGGCAGGTGACACGCTGGCCTGGAGACGTGGTACAGGTACCCTCCTGGCAAAGGCACACCTGCTGCTCACCCTTCCCCTCCCTGCCCAGGATCCGCCCTGGCCACCCTCGCAGGCCGAGGCAGTGCTCCCAACACACCGAGCACACACTCTGGCACCCTCCGGAACCCTCCTCCACCCACAACAAGCAGGAATGTTGACCGTGTCCCCGTTGGACAAATTAATTTTAAAAAACCTGAGTTACACAGAACCTCACATGGGGGCCAGCAAAGCATCAGATCACGGAGCTGCCGCACCACACAAGCCTTATGAAAGCAACGTAGTTCTGCCCACACCCACGGTCACTCTCTCCAACCACCACATCAAGGAACCACAGTGCAAACCCACCCCAAACGCACTCAGAATGTGGGTGGGAGGTTGGAGGCTCAGGTTCCTGTGCTCATGGCGTGGCCTCGATTTGATGTCATGCCGTCCCGGGTCTGACCTGCATGGACATCGCTGCTCTCACCAGAGGGCGGGTTCCAGGTTCCGAGGGGTCAGGCTTGGCACAAAAACCTGGCCTCAAGGTCCTCCCATGATGCCCTGTCAGTTTGGCTCAGTGGATAGAGTGTTGGCTTGCAGATTGAAGGGTCCTGGGTTTGATTCTGGTCAAAGGCACGTCATACCTTGGTTGCAGGCTTGATCCTTGGCCCTGGTTGGGCTGCATGCCGGAGGCAACCAATTGATTTTTCTCTCTATCTCTCTCTCTCTTCCCTTCCACTCTCTAAAAATCAATGGAAAAAAAATCCTAGGGAGAGGATCAATAATAATAATAAAAATAAATAAATAAAGATCTTCCCAGGAGCCCTGACTTCTCGGCAGGTGGTTTGTCCACCCTCTGGTGAGACAGGTGCTTTCTCCTCACGGCGGCTGCACAGCGTTAAGTACCCCAAGATTTCTGGGGAGAGCGGGGCCCAGCTATATTCCAAATGCCTACGGGCTTGGGAGACTTCAGCTGCTCAGACAGCAAGAGGCATCGGCTCTGCTTTCTGACGGGGACGGACAAGGTGTGGCTCCCGCTGCCAGGACGGGGCAGGGTCATTAGGCCTGAGTGCTCGGACCAATTCCAGCCCCTCAGGCCGGGGAGCCCCATCGAGGGAAGCCTAACACGTGGGAGGCTGCATCCCAGAACCCTCAGCCTCTGGGAACGGCTGTTCCGTGGCAGAGGCTGGTCAGCCGTGGGCACCCACCACCAGCTCTAATGGGCCAAGGGGAATTTGCTCTCCCGTGGGGGCGGATCAGCGTCTCTGTAAGGGGCCCAAGGCCAGCAGGTACTCTGCAGGGGCTCTAGGCTTTCCCCGAGTGGTTCTGATTGAGAATCAGCAATGAAACATCACATATGGGCGGGGGAGGTGGGGGTGTGTGCATGAAAGAGGCACATATTTATAGATATCATTTACTGCTTTCTAGGGAGGCCTCTGGCACAGCTGTCTTAACCACGGTCCCAATCCTGACCCCAAAACGAACATTGCCTTGCTGTCCTGGGCCACACTAAAAAGCTTTGTTTATAACTGTCCTGGGACGACGGAGACTTAGGGGAATAAGGCCCCCAAACGTGGCCTCAAACGGAGCAGACAGAACCTACGTGCGCGGAGCTGCACTGGGCTGGGCCGCGGGACCTCTCAAGGGGCCCAGGACCACGTGTGTGACCTGGAGACAAGTGGGCAGACCAGGGGCGGTTCGTGCATGGCGGAGGGGCAGTGTGTGTGCGGCCGGGGCAGGAGGCTGAGGACAGGGAGCGACTCCTACACTGTTCTACAGATGACCATGATCACAGGGAAGCAAGAGGAGTATTTGGGGAAAATGAAGAGCAGACGACCTGCTAGAGAGCGTCCTGACCACACAGGTGAGCAGCGTGGGGACTGATGCGGAGGCACAGGCGTCTGAAAGATGTTTGGAGGCAGGACCTCCACGACTGGAGCCTGGTGTCAGCTGGGAGAGTGACGGGGGGAGCAGGAGCCCATCGGAGGCACCGGGTGGGTGTCAGAGCCCAGAGGAGCAGGAGGGTGCAGTCTTTGGGCACCCGGAGCTCCATGTCCGCACCCCACCAGGCTGACAGGGGCAGGGCAATCAGCAGAGGCTGCACCATGGGGCTGGGCCTGTGTGACAATGGCTGTCCCCTGAACTGAGGGACTCAGGGTGACTGTCTTACTCAGCTTTGACCTCTCAACCAAGTCTGGCTCCTGCCATCAAGCAAACCAAATCCAGAGGGGCCCAGAGACTGGCCCAGGGCCGTGGCCCTGGCACCCCTCACACGCCAGCACCTCCCATGCTGGCACCTTCTCGAAGGGCAGAACCAGCACCTGTGAGTCCACTGAATGTGAAACACTGCCCAGTCATGAGCACCCCTCCTGGGAAAGGCTGCGGCTGCCCCTGAGGTGCCAGGGTCACGGGACACAGGCTGGAGGGGCTTGCCGGGCATCTGCCCTCGCCCAGGAGGGATGGAGGCCAGGGCAGCACCCCTAAAGGAGAGGTGTGCGCCCCTGACCGCTCCCCACTCGCCTTCAGCCGGACCGTCTGTGCCCAGGTCCGGGAAACAGCTTACACTTATGTGGATCGTTTGTGCTCGCAGCCCAGGAAAGTGCTAGCGACCGGCGCTTAGCGAGCAGATCATGGTGATCAAGGTGCAAGTCAGGACTGCCTGCTGCCCTCAGCCGCAGCCCAGCTTGTGCCCAAGGAAACGGCGGCCCTTTACATAAATACGCTGCAAACCACCACAGGCGCCTTGTTACTATTTTACAGGAAGGCCACGGCACCGAGATTTCCACACCATCATCCTGCCTGCCACGCTGTGACACGTCTGCAGGGAGAGCCGCCTGCCGTGCTGGGGCTCAGGAGCCGGGGTGCACTCCTCCACCAAGCAGCGAGTTTGCACACCCCTCCTTCGCACACTCACACGGTGCAAAGCCAGGCGCCCACCTGCGGCCGCGGGCACTTACCGTCATCCAGGTACAGCTGGTCCAACTCCTGAGGCTCTCGCTTGACCGATACGGGAGTGGGGGCCAGACCCTGATTACTGTCCTCACGCACCTCGGGCAGCGGCAGAGGCCGGGCGGCTGCAGGCTCTTTTTCCGGAACCTTCGGCAGTTGGTGCTGCTGGTGGCCCATCCCGGGTGGGCGGGTTGGGCTGCAGGACTGCAAACAGGTCGGCTCTTGGGTACCGGATGGCAGTGCAGTCGAGGGGCTGTGGGGACAGAGTGCTGGCTGGCCACCCGGGGGACGGCTGCTGCTCAGCTGTGGACTCACCTGTGGCTGCAGCAGGGCTGGGGGCGGCTGCTGGGGGGAGCCGGGGTGCACACCCACGGGCCTGGGCATCTCAGGGCCGGCGAGGACCCCCGCAGCTGGCCGCTGAAGTCCGAGGGGGCTGTGGCCCGGGCTGGCCATGCCCTTGCTGTAGGGGGCGGAGGACAGGTCGTGCAGCTTCGGGCTGGTGCTGGGCGGCGGAGACATCATGGTGCTCCTCTGGAGGCAGGGCGGGAAGCCGGCCACGAGGCAGGACCCCGGGTCGGGCGGCAGAGCCAGCTGTTGGCTGTAGCAGGGCTTCGGGAGCGGGCTCAGGCCCTGGCTCATTGGTCCGCAGGTCAGGGCCAGCTCGTAGTCATCGGTGGGCTCTGTTTTTATGGTTGGAACTGTGAGAAGAAAAAAACGTTACATAAACACGGCTGCAGATGGGTGCGATGGGGCGGGCTGCGGCCAGGACACCCTCTGAAGACAAACAGCGTCTTGACTGAGCCCTGTGTCTCCCGCCCGGTTCTCCCACCCAATTAAAAAGGAGGGCGTGAGTCATCGGCTCCGAAAGCCACAGCTGCTTCTAATACCGAGAAAACTATTTTCCTTGGAATCTCCCACGGCACTAATGTGCTATAAAAATCCATTTGCAAACGGCAGTAGAAGCCCTGGACCCGAGGGCCCACGGATTTGTAGCAATCAAAGTGAGAATGTGAACTTGGACGCACGGCTGCATCTGTGCGCTACCGCCGCCATCTGATAAGTGTCTGCGCAGGCGGTGAGCGTGAGGACAAGCGTGCAGCGCACACACCCGACGGCGGCGTCAGGAGAGGAGCCGTCAGCGCCAGGAACGGAAAGGCCGCTTCTCCTTCCCGCCCCTCGACTTCCACTCTAGAAGAACAAGCGGCAATCCGCCGCCCTGGCCCGCGGGCGAGGCTCTGAGCTGCTTCGAGTGCACCCCTGCCTCCTCACTAGGAAGCGGACGCGGCTGAGAACAGGCTGGGATGCAGCTGAAGGCAGACGGAAGAGGAGAGGGTGCCGCAGGCCCGGGTCCTGCAGGGGGTGTCGGGGGAAGGCGCACAGTGCCCGTGTGCTGCCTTGGCTCGGCTCCGTCTCCACCCCGGGCCACTGCGCCCGCGCTCGCCTCCCGTGTCCTGTTTTCTCGTCGTCTTCATTTATGCCCATTTCCAGAGACATCTCGGTGGTCGGGGTTGTTCTGAGTGACAGCGATCGCACACATTGCCAGCACGTGCCCGTGCGGCTTCAAAGACTGTAGCGTGACAAGGAGCTGTCATTTGAGGGACACCCCTCAGTCACAGCCTGGGGCCTACGCAGGCAGCCTCCTCCTCAAGCAACTAAAAGTGTATTTACATCTTGAGACAAAATGTTTAAGGAAGGTCTTGACCCAGCAAATGTGCTGTCTGCTCTGCCCTGTGGCCGGGTGCCCGTGGGTCCCCAAGCAGCTGGGTGGGGACATTGGGTGGGAGCTGCCTGGCGTGCCCTGGGACAGGTATGCCCTGGGACAGGTGTGCCCTGGGGCAGGCGTCCGCTTGCTGGGCTCCTTGTCTCTCACGTGAAGGCAGCACTCAGACTAAACGGTGAGGACAGTTCCCAGCGAGAGATCCCCTGTGAAGGTCCACGCCTGAGTTTTCAGCTCTGGGGTTTCACCACGGGACAGTGTGTCCCAGCTGGACTCACATCACACATCCGTCGTTACGGTGTCCCTCTGCACACAGACCAGGGTGCGTGGATTACAGTCTGTGGACCTGGGCGGTGTGGACAGTGAGTGGAAGGCAGGGAGGAAACACAGGGTCACAGCAGTTATGAGGCCTCCACCCAGCACTGCCACAAGCACGGTCGGTGACTCCCAGGTGCTGTTCAGTGAAGCCGCGTGTGGCTGAGAGCTGTGAGGCCTTCAGGCTGCGTGCAAGGAGGCCACGCTGCCTCCCCCCGGGGGCCTGGGCGCCCCAGCATCCTGAGGCACGTTGGGTCCAGTTCGGCTGGCCTGGCAAGTGCTGGGGGGCAGGCGAACCCGGGGGATGAATGGAGCGTGGGCAGACTTTACGTGGGTGCCCGAGGGGGCACTGGTGGGCTGTGAGCAGACACAGGTATTGCAACCAGTGCCCGCCCCGTATCACTCCACAGCTCTGCTCGTGGTGGGGGAGGGCTTTCCTTTGTTTCAGGAGAGCACTGCTGGTCAGGGGCCAGGACGAAGGGCTCCTCTCCTCCTGTTGTCCCGAGGAGCCTGTCAGTGGCTGCAGAAGGGACAAGAAGAGCTGGCTGTCCTCCGGGGTAAATGTTAATTCCGTGTTGATCACATCAGTGACACACCCGCAGGCCCTGGGCCGGCTAGCAGTTGGGAGTCCTGGGAGGCAGGTGGCTCCCGGGGGCGGGTGTGTGTCCGGAAGAGCCGCCACCCCGTGACGAGGCTGTGAGTGTCTGTGGCCTGTGGCCCTGAGCGTGTGCAGAAGAGGATGTGTGGCTTGGTCAGGTGGCACCTGGGAAGGCACCCTCTCCTAGGGTCTCCCTTAACTTCCTAATCGGCCCCCAGTGACGGGGTCCTGCTGGCGAGCACCCCAGCTGGGGCCTCCTGCCTCTGCTCCCTCTGGCCGCCTGACGCAGGCAGACTCCCTGCCACGTGCCCGTGTCCACAGACAGGCAGGGGACGAGCTAGACCCGGGCTGCCGGGACCGCGATGACGTCCTCACAGTTAATAGAGAACAGCTGCAGCCCCAGGCTTCACACTGGAGAGTTGAGCGTGCGAAGGCGGCCTCCGCTCCTCCACCTTGAGGGGCTGAGCTCCAGGCAGATGGATGGCTGAGCTCCCTGCAGCCCCTTGCTGGCCAGCATTACCCTCGGACAGTCCCTGGGGCCGGCTCTGTGGTCCAGGTGCAGGTCCAGGCACTGGCCCAACCAGGAACCTCCCTCCTGTTCCCAGAATGTCGTGAACCCAGAAGTGGGCAAGGAGGCAGGTCGATGGCTGCTAAACACGCCCCATGAGCAAATGCACCCCCGGCAGGACCAGTGTCTCCGTTCCAAAGGCGCCTGCGTGAAATCGGGCGTCCAGAGCAGCAAAGGTAACAGTCCGCACGGGTTTGGTAACTTTCAGAGTTCACGGATGCCTGGCATTTAAATTAAGGGCCTTATGGGACTGTCCGGCCCCGGAATCAGCCAGGCACGAGGGCCTGTGTGTCTCTCAGGATGCATCCCCTGAGTTCGTTAAACCTCTTACCCATCTGCTCTGCACCACACTGAAGGTGCAGCCTGACAGAGAGGCCCGGGAAACGCCAGCAGCGTGACCTACTCGCCGTGCTGCCAAGCCAGCGATTGTGGGGGCTGGTCCGCGGCCGAGCGGGCACCTGCAATGGGCAGGAGCAGGCTGCTGAGCCTGCTGGGTGGCCACAGTGTCACTGACCACCTGTTCAAGCCCCCGTGGCACCAGCACTGACTCCCACATCAGCCTGCTCCCAGGGCTCCTTCCGGGAAAATCCCACAGAGTACCTGTTGGGGGCCTTGGGAGTCCCCAGCTGGGCCGGGCGGGCGGCGGGACGGGACGGGACGGGACGACACAGGGGACTGGGCACCCGCCATGGCTTCAGAAGGGTGGAGCGTGGCCATAGGGCTGAATTCATCAGGCTGGACCAGCCCACCCAGCCTTCTGGGGACTCCCGGCAACCAGGCCCTCTCCCCTCAGACACCCCTCCCTGCATCTGCAGCCGCTGCCACTCACACCCACGAGGTGGTCTGCTCCCCGCGGGCACCGTGCTCCCCGTTTACCCCAAGGCCCACTCCAGAGGCCCAACACAAGGCCACGACAGACCCCCTTGGGGAGTGAACGAGTGCAGGTCACGGAGGTGGTCCCTGCCCTGCCTGCTCCGGGGACTCCGCACAAGCCCAGGACAGAGACGCCTGATGATTCAGCACCAGGAAGGGGCTCCGGGACACACTGCCTGGCCGCAGGCTGAGACAGACAGGCGCGGGTGCCCCTGCCAGCCCGCGGGCGTGTGATAACTCGGGAAGGCACACCCGACCCTCCAGGGACGGAGCTGCAGCCTGTGCTCCTGTGGTGTCCACGGAAGTGACCCTGCTTGTGCCTGTTTCTTGTGTGGTTTTCAAAGGAAACGAACACCTCCCTGTCAATCAGCCACCAAGGAGATGCCTCCTGTTTCCCATCAGTGAGGGAGGAGGACGCGTCCGCGCAGAGGCCTCAGCAGAGCGCCTGTCTCGCGGCTGGCGGGCGGGTCTCGTCCACCCGGAGCAGTTTCCTCCCAGCACGGAGGCTCCCTGCGTCCACCCCCTTGCTCGTCCGGCGGGAGGGCTGGTAGCGGGAGGCCATGCCAGGGACACCGAGGTGAGCGGAGGGGCACCTATAATCCACGCTTGCTACAGGCAGCCTACGGGGAGGGGTCCACGCTGGTCTTTAGGCCGCTGGGTCCCCCTCAGCGCAACCCAGCAACTGCCCCCTGTGGAGACGGGTCTGACCCAAAGGCCCCACCTCCCCCGGAGCTGCAGTCTGCTCCGTGCGGGGCGCTGAGGCCCCCTGTGCCTGACACCAGCGCCTCACTGACAGGGCTCCGGGCTCCGGTCCCAGGAGTGGTGGCATCAGGCCCAGCCCCACCCCAGGGGCATCCCTCACAGCCTTGAGACGCTGTCTCCAGGAGCCAGGCTGCAGGGTCTTCTCCCTCTGCCACATGCATACGACAACTTTGGAGACAATGGGAGTGGGCGAGGCTCTGTCCTAGGATGCCCCCCCCACAGCCCCCCCGCAAAGGTGGTCTGTGGGCCAAACAGCATTCCAGAACATTCCTGGCCTCGCTCAGAGAAATCCAAGTCTGGCACTGGGCTCCTTTCCCCACAGGGCAATGGTGGTGGGAGGTGCCTTCCGAGGAGGTGGCTCCGCCCCAATTTCTGTCCTGTGGCCAGAGGGGGCGAGGGGGAGGTATGCTTCCTGCAGGCCCACCTGCCACCTAGGCCCCCACCTTCCCAGGGTGGGTGCCACGTGCACAGGCTCTGGGCCCGGTCCTCATGGCCCCCAGATGGGCCCCACCGCCGTACCTCACACAGACCATCAGAAGTCAATGTGCCCCTGCCCCTTCGAGGCTCAGCCACCGTCACCCCATCCACACACCCATCTGACACCTCTCAGAATTTGCCCCAGAGAGCAAGCCGACAGGCTTGGGCCCAGGATGTTGGGTGAACAGCTAATCTCTACCCTGCCTGTCACCCCGGGGTGCATCTGTAAATGGCCACCACTGGCTGTTTTTTGTTTTTGTTTGTTTTTAATTTTCTTTTAAAATATGTTTTTATTGATTTTTAGAGAGAGAGGAAGGGAGAAAGATAGAGAGATAGAAACATCATCCATGAGAGAGAAACATCCTCTATCAGCTGCCCCCTGCATGAC